TTGAGTGGCAATTCAAGAAGCGACCACTGGCTCTCCCCAAAGAAGAGCAAGAGGTTCTTGTCTAGCAAGTGAGAAAAAATAAGTACAGAATCATCTAGGATACTTTGTGTTAAATTCAACTGGTGCCCACAGAAAGAGATTCATTAGAATTTTAGTCAGGAAGTATGTAGAAAGATTCAAAATATAATAATAACATACACAAGACCATAGTGAAAGAAATTTAAATTTTTAGTGATGAAATCCAACATAAATGTCTATGTCTTTATCATATTTAAATATTCATTGAAATAATTATGGACATACAGAAGATTGTGAAAATTATATGGCAAAATCCTGGTCTCTCTTGCCCAGGTTCCTCCAATGATAACAACTATGATATTGAGATAAATATAATCCATAAATCTTAACCATAATTATCAGGGGAAAAATTAAAATTTTTATTATTAATACATTGAGAAAAAGAAAACTTACACAGCATGAGGATACCTCAGTGGTAGAGCGCCCATCTAGCATGCTCAGGGCACTGGGTTGGATACTCAGTCATGCAAAGAAAGAGAAAAAAATGGACAACTTGAAAGAATGGGTGGGCCATATTAACAGTCATGGAGCTTTACAACAGAATCAAAAGAAAATGCTAAAATCAAAACTGCTAAGACAGAAACAAAGAATATCTCAGGGTTGAAGATTTGTCATATTTCTAAACAAATCTCAATTAAATTTAAAGTCATAGTATCTTTGTAGAAGTAGACCCATACTAGTAATAAAGAACTCTCCCGCAATTATCCTTGAGCCCTGGGTGATTGATTGTAAGAGTAAGGGGTGGTGCATGACCACAAGCAAACAGAGTCCTCCAAGCTCCTGGGAGCTTCCTCATATGAACTTACAGCAACTGTGACAATGTGCACAAGATCCATGCAAACTCAATTAGATAAAAACCAACATAGACATGGGGAAATGGGCAGTAGGCCCCAACCTTAGCCTAGGAAAATATTGACAGCTGGTCACTGCTGGGTGAGGCAGAACTGATCTTCTTTAAGGGAATGATGCTAGACTGGATGAACATGATCCAGTGGATGAAGTCACACCAAGGGACATATGGATATGCAAACTTGACTTGATTGATCTTAACATATATAACAGAATGCATGAAATCCTGTGGGGGGTGCAGATGGAGGAGGGGTCTGAGTATGATCTAGATCTATTGTTTGGAACATACAAAAATTCAATAAAACATACATTGGAAAAAAAAATAATTCTTGTGCTTTGCCAGCAACATTTTCAGACATATGAGAAAGTATATGAAGAATCCCTGGGATTCACTGTTAAAGACGAGCTTTTAGAACTTAATACGGCCTCTGTTGGTAATGCTTAATTGCTACCTATTAGACTGACTATTGTAGTACTGTTCTATGGTGGCTTTTAGAGATTTTCCCCATCTGTGAATTGCTTGGCATACTTCATTCATGGTTTGATACACTTGAACAACACTACATCATCAAACATATAAGTAGACAGGTAGTGATCAGACTTTGGAGGAATAGAAAGTGGCATATGTTTCACTCATTAATACTTCACTTTAGGAAAGTTTCAGCTTCTCCTTTATAGTGCTACCATGATAACATGGGGCACTTCTAGACTTATCATTTTAAAAATCTTAATCGAAATTTTTAAATTTCACTTTGAATTCCCACTGCTTTTGCCAAATACAGATGAACTGGGTGTTCCATCACCGCAATTGTGTAGGATGCCGTGGAGTTTACCAGGCCATGCCACATTTACTTTATAGTTTTCTAAAATCCACTAATTTCCCATCCCACTCTGGACTTCTGGAACATGAATACTGTCTTAAATCTCTGTGTCCTCTGTGTCTCAAATTTACTAGTTACCTAATTAAAATAATTGAAAACGTGCTGCAGTGATTAACTGCTGAGAACATAGGAACTGCTAAACATATATCAATACTGGGATTATAAAAATTATCTTATCCTTTAAAAATTTCAGCCAAGAAATTCCTATGAGCTAGCTAGTTACTTCTCAAAGTTTAAGACTCTTTCAATTATTAGTCAACTTGGAACATAGAGCTTCAGGAAATCAATCAGATATGCTAGAAGCACTCTTACACCCTATTTCAGAAATACCGATTAGCAGGAAAATGACATCACTACCACTGGTCTGTGTGGGGACTGTCACAGTTCAGAGCTCCAGACATGATAATTAAAAGAAAAAAAGAGAATAGAGCAAAATACGGTATAAGGCAGTAAAATATTGGCTGCAGTTTCAACATTGCAGAAGTGAAGTACAAACATCGACTTCTATGTTTATTTTTATTTACATTATTTATTTATTTATTTATTATGAGTGCTCGGCCTGCTTCTAAGTGTACCTGTGTCATGCAGTGTCCACGGATCCCAGAAAAGGGAATTGGATTCCCTGGAACTGGAGTTATAGAAGGTGGTTAGAAGCCATGTGGATGCTGGGAAGTGGACCTCTGTCCCCTGGGAAAAGCAGCCAGTGCTGCTAACTGCTGAAACCTCTCTCCAGCCCTTAATTTTTTTTCTGGCAGTTTTTCTTAATTTTTTTTTTTTGGAAAGTTTCCCATTGAAACAATATTGACAGCTCTTAGAGCATAAAAATGACGCAAATATTTGCAAAAATAAATTTGTCTTGATAATATAAATGACTAATTACTAAGTTTTTAAGAGTCACTCCTTTTTTTCTCTACTTCCCAGAACTTGGACTTGTGTGTTATGTACTCAAATCATATACACGTATATAAATCATATTCATACATGTAAACATAACTACAAAAGCATGTGTTTTGTTATATCAGAGACTATTAATATCTGCTTGGAAAGAAGGAGTAGCCTAGAAATTGCCTGAAAACAATGTGGCATGCAGGATAATATCATTGCCTTCAGTACCCGATTGTGGGAACAAAGCTTGACCTATTCCTTGGCAGTCTGTCCATTTAGAAAGCAGCACATATAAAATTCTTAGTAAAAATTAAATTTAGTTAATCTAGGCAAACTGTATAGCATCACAAATTCCATAATGTTTATTATTTTCTTAACTTAAAGAAAGTTATATTTCAAAGTTATATTTATATATTTTATTCAATTAAAATTTGGGGGAAATTAATAGATATGGGTATGTTGAATTATCAAAATAATTAAATGAACAAAAGAATGATTAACTTTCAAAAATAATGTAATTACTAAGGCAATTTATTATCAGTAATTTAAAGAAAAGAATATTTGTGCGTCCTTAAAATTGATGTTCCACAGTCAAGAAAAGTGAAAATAGACAAATGTAATTCCAACAAAAAAAAGTTTGTGCACAGTAAAGGAAAAACTCAACAAAATGAAAAGGCAGTCCATGAAGAAAAAAAATTTATAAGCCATATTCCTGAGAAGGGATTAATATAAAAAATGTATAAGACATTCAAACAACTTAATATAATATGTGTGAAAGCACATAAATATTACCTATAAATATTACATACATATCAGAAATAACAACAAAAATAGTCAAAGTACTTAAATAGACATTTTTCCAAATAAGACATACAAATTGCCAAGGGGAATATCTTCAACATTACTAATCATCAGGGAAATGTAAATAAAACCTCAAACATTCAAGAATGACAATTATCAAAGGTCAAAGAGCAAGCACAGTATGTGTGGGTGACTTTAGGAGCAGGCTGAGTCAATCAATTTATCATGCATTAAGACTATAAGATGTTTACCTTGTGTCATATATTAATTTCCTATTTTTAAAAAGAAACATCTTGAAATCCTTTGATAGCAATCACCTAATTATATTTTCACTTTCCTATCTTCTAAATAAAAAAAAAAAAACATTGGCCCTTCCTCCTAATTTAGGATATCCCTTTAATATAACAGGTTGTAGTTTTCTGTGATTCTGTAACTCTGAACTTGTTGCCGAAGAGGGTGTCTGGACAGTATCCAGTCTTTACTCTCTGTAGAAAGAGATGTTACACTGAACACAAAGTGAGTTTCTACCTAGATGTAATAAAGCATTTAGTGTCAGTGTATGGAGAGGGTACCTGCTGCCAACTTGGTCCTTATTTCACTAATTTAAAAAAAAGTTCTGCAGGACTCAGTCAAGGTAGTAAGTGTTCTCAGTTGGTCCCAGTGGCCCAACATAGAAAGAAAAGACTGCTTAAGGAGATCATAACTTGTCCTATGTAGAAAGAAATAATAGGGTCACATGTAGGAATA